TTACACGGTCACGAATTGGAAACTCGTGTGTCGCCAAAGGCTCGGAACATATGAAAATTACTACACTCGTTTAATAAATCCGATATTACACGGTCACGAATTGGAGATCCTCTATTTATAAGATCACAAATTTTTTTTTTTCATTTGCTTTGCCTAAATGACAAAGGTGTGTCTAAGTTCTAATGTTGGATTACATGCACTTCTACTTGTAATAGAGCAAATATATGAATGAAATGTTGTGCATGCAATGTCGGCGAAACCAGAATAATGTGAAACTGTATTTACAACAAGAGCATATCATAAACATTTACAATTCTACTGAAAAAATATCTAGTTGGAAACAAAACATAAATTGAAATTATTTCCAGTTGAGTAATAAAAGATACGGGTATGGTCATATTTTGATACATGATTTGCATGTGCTCAGTGATAGATAAATTACAATTAGCTGTTATCACAATGTAGTACTGTAGTAGCAATTTGCAGAATGCTTTCACATTGTCTGATTATTAACTTGTTTTCTGTTATAGGTTTTCTGATGTTAATCCTCACATTGGCCCTGGTTGGCATCGCTCATCATTTTGATAAACTGCGGATTGCAGTTGCATACGAGAAACGTCTACAGCTGATAACTATCAGTACTGTGATATCGTTTCTATTCAGTGTGTTAGCATTTATCAAGTCTAAATGGGCTCCTCCGAACTCATTGTCACCACGAGGTAACTCTGGTAAGTAATGCTTTTTCCCTTCACTTAATACAGGATTTTTGCTCAGAATCAGCATTTATGTATCCAGTGCCTGCATTATTTCATAGATATTATGTTAGTTGTCAATGTGTCAATTCTATGATTAATATAGTTTATCTTGTTTTTCTGTTATAGGCAAAGTAGTGTATGACTTTTTTGTCGGCCATGAACTACACCCTCGCATTTGCAAAACATTTGACTTGAAAATGTTTGTGTATCGTGTTGGTTTGATACAACTGGTAAGTCTTGAGATCTTTTTGGTTTTCAAGATTTGAAACTAAATTATTTAATTTACCTCATAAAGTTCTCCTGTTGTTAATTAACATCACACTGAGACTTGTTGCATATCTGATCAAATATTTTACAGTCTTGGTGATGTTTGTCTTTTTTTTTCTTTGTAGACTTTGCTGAATTTAGTTAACATTGGAAGGATGTGTCAGTCGGAGGGTAAACCAACTATAGCTATTCTTTTTGCTGCAGCTTTTATGGGATGGTATGTGCTGGACTCATTTTGGTTTGAGGTAAGACCAACTTTTATTAGTTGATTATATCCTGGTACAGTTCATTACAGAGTGCATTGATTTACTCTAAAAGCTTAAATGCAACTGTCCTAACATTCATCACAAGTATGTGATGAGACAAGGACCATTGTTCATCACAATTAAATACTGTAAATCTCTTTAATTTCACAAAACAATTTTAGTCATGAATGTGTGAAAATCATCAAATTGGAAATGTAGGTGGTTGACAGTATTATTAATTCCCATGTAAACAGACTTGCCTTTGAGTACCGTATAATACCTCATATAAGCGCCAACCAGTATTAGGCGTCAGTACAATAGAAAAGGTGATAATTTTCACACCAATTAGGCGCCAGTCAAGGTTGAATGTTTGGATAAAACCGTGAAATCGGAGCCAGTGAATTCCCCATGTGGCTGACTTCCGCCTAACACTTGAGCTAATCTTTAACAGTGTTTACTCTAGGATGTGCAACTGCGTGATTCCTCGCCCCGTTATAGTCCTAATTGAAACTGGTTTATATTACAATATATCAATTTAAAAATTAGGATCAAAAGCTCAAGTTCGGGGTGCGGTTTCTATTACATACATACTGTAAAACATGTTGAAATAGCGGCATGCAATTTTAGCGAATTGTGGTAAAATGACGTAGTAGCGAAATGTTGATTTACCGAATCTCTTTTGTCATTGTTGATTTCTTTGTTTAGTGGCCATTTTGAATTGATAATAAAGTCATTAGTGGCATCTTGAATTAGCGAATCAGATCTCTCGCTAAATTCACGAAAGACATACTCGCGAAAAAGACATGTTTTACAGTATTGCAATCACTAAATGGGTGTGGTCATTTTTTGCCCACAACAATGCACAAAACAAACAATACACCATACAATCTCTTGAATGGGCGTCGGGGAAGAGTGAAAGGCCTTACTTTGGTTCTAAAATAGGCAATCGAAAAAAAAATGTCCACATGATAAAAAAAAATACTCGGTATATTCCGTTGAAATGTTATGAAATGCAAGTAAAATAGGTGATTTTCCGTACAATTGTGGGATCTCGTGAGATGCATGAAAGACGTGCGTCGAACGTCTGCCGCAAAAATCAAACGATTTGATTTTGAACAAGAATTTCTTTATTTCGTAGCTCACATCGACAGTCCGATCTTCGACAAAGGAATATTGCTTCCGAATACCCTCACTTAATCAAAATTGCCTATCATTAAATGTGGACAGCACATTATTAAGCATGGAAACGTCCCCCAAAATACTTTCGTGTTTGTCGAATCCCAAGCGATGTTTGACGCCACTACGACGCTATGACCTTTGTTTGTCCTTTTTTTACGTTCGATTTCATGCATAACGGGTGATTCTCGCAGTGAATGGAAAATGGTTCATTCAACTTAGTTTCACCGTAAGCGAATGATTTCATTCACATTTTATTCAATACGATAAGATATCCGCCATGTTTTTAAATGCACACGTGACTTGTTTATTGACCGGATAGGTCGAGTCGCCAATTAACCAATCAAAATGCTGGATGATGCCCACGTGTCTGAATTACTATAGCTCATTTAATATGTTAATGACAGTTCAACGACCTCATGGTGAACGCAACACAGAAGAGATTTACTGATAATGTAGTGCGATTTTTTGGCTTTGATATCCATGGGAAAACAGCATGATTTTTTTTTAAATTAAGAAATTATTTTAGGAAAGATGAACTGAGCATTTAAAAAATAATTTAACATTGTTTACAGTAATAACAGCTCATTGTCAAAACAAAGCTTACCCATTCACGTTAGTCACAATAAAAATCATACTCTTGAATAGGCGTCCAGAATAATTTTAATGTTCGAAAAATGCAGCCAAAATATTTTTAAAAAAAGCTTGATTTCTTGGTCTCCAAACTGCCGTTTAATGGCCAAGGGCGAATTTACGGCTGAATCCGGTACATTGTATAGACAGGATTCCTCTGATTGTAAGGTAACGTTACCGTAGTTCTGGGAAAAAATGACTGACCTCAATTAAGCGCCATTTGCAACAAAGTTGCCAAAATGTCACCTCAAATTAGCACCAGAAAGAAATGAAAATGTATCAAAGGGGTGCCTATATGAGGTATTATTATATTATGTGTGAGTCTGCACATTTTAAGATTTCAAACTTCACACATACATACATCAAGTCATACATACATTATGCATTTGTGTCAAAATCTTAATCAAATGGCCTACTGGTGGTTATTTTTTGTGTTTTAAAAAAATCCAAATTGGATCTTGGTTGTGCATGGATAGATTACGTTCAAACTTGGTACATTAAACATATATGGGACCTTGATGTACTTTATATTGTTTTTCAGATCAGATTCAATATGGCTGACATTTTTTTAAATGTTCATGTTCGAACTTTCATCTATTTTTTTAAACTTAAAAACTCACAATGGCTTTGTAATGCAATTAGAGCTTTAGGGATGTCTATTGTAACAATCAGGAGTTGAGGCTTAAATTTATAGCCTTTACAACCTGATACAGTGTGATACGGGCTGTAGATCATTAAACACCTGCACTGGAAATGTGAATTGTCTGATTTGGTGTGGAGAGGTGAAAGTTAATTCCATATTGCAAGCGTCAAATTCGCAATAGGGTTTGAAAACCCCCCTTTTTTTTCCATTTGTACATTTGTAATGTTCAAATGAGAAACATTGTCACTAATCAAACAGTACATCGGTCGGTCCATTCTTTTGTGGGTAGGGTGTCTATGATCATAGAATAGCAAAACAAATATGATATATATACGCAGTAAATCACAGAAACATCCTTGTCACATTTCAAAATTTTGCATTACGGAAATTTCTTTTTGAGGGAGGAAGGGAGTCAGCACCACAAATGACGTATGTTTCCTGCGCGCCAGTTACAATAGGCTGCCCTTATGTATTTCTTTTAACCAACTTAATACAGTATAAATTTCTGTTTGTTTTTTTCCAGGATCGCATTGTGCATTGTTTAGAATTTTCTGGTGACGGTTTTGGCTTTCGTCTGATATTTGGATGTCTCACAGTTATGCCTTTCTTCATGTCCTTCCCAACGTGGTATCTAATTCAGTACTCACCTGAACTTAGTAAACTGGCTGTTGCCGGCATTGTGGTGTTCCAATGTAAGTATATGCCATCTTGTACCTTGCAAGTTAATTTTCAGTATGGCTATGTTTAAATCTCCTGTAGATTTACTTGAATTATAATACATTTCATGAGTAATTTCAATAATTTGTTTCCACTGCTGTTTTCTTCTAGTGGTTGGAATGGTTGTTTATCGTGGATCCAATTCCCAAAAATGGGAATTCCGACGCAATCCATATAATCCTAAACTAGCACGTAAGTTCTTTATTTTCTGTTTGCAATAATACTCTACTGTACTGGGATATCCTGTGAAGACTGTTCTCTGTCAGAATAGCAGCCTTACTTTGTCCTTGAGTAAAGAATCTGTCTGCCAACATTCAAATAAAATTAACTTATTTCTACCTCCAGGCTCACCATTGAAATTGTTTCTCTCTGGTGCACATATAAAATATCATTTCCAATTTAAAACGTCCTTGACACTATGTTATCTTTAGCAAAGTGATGCTTAGTGTTTAGCAATAATGCGAAGAACAACTGCTATTTAAAGTACAGTAAAACTACTTTGAGCTGAACCCAGTGCAAACTGATAACCAACCGCAAGCATTATGCAGATTAGGTACAAAATCCATACATATTTTGACTAAAACTGTTGTGATCAGGTCTATAGACATCAGTAAATCAAGCACATATACATACATAATGTGTATAAGCTTATAAGTCTTTATTATCACTCTTCAATGACACAATTTCATTGTACATTTCACAGATCTTGAAAGTATTCGTACCAATGCTGGAACTCGTTTACTTGTATCTGGTTGGTGGGGATGTGTACGCCATCCAAATTACCTTGGTGATATTTTACTCACTATTGGCTTTGTTCTGCCATGCGGTAAGTAGACTAAACATCTGCAATTCTTTGTATGATTCAGGTTCATTTATTCTATTTCGAATGTATTCCGAAAATGAATATGTTTTGTCTCGTTCAGGATCATTTGATAGGCTGTGAAAAATGCCTTTTTCTGACTTAATGATAACCTTCAGCTTAATTTGCCATGGTATTTGATGAGTAGTTGTATCTTTGTTAGAACTCTTAGTTTTTCTGGTATGAAACTTATATATTCATATTGTTTGTTTGCCTTTGTTAGGATGTGCTCATTTTTTACCATGGATTCTTCCCGTAACTTGCATTGTGGAGCAAGTTGTGCGAGAAATTAGAGACTCTGAAAAATGTCGAAAGAAGTATGGAAGTTCTTGGAATGAGTATTGTGAGAAAGTAAAGTATCGCCTTGTACCTTATATTTACTGAAAACTTTATATTCAATAAAACTGAATGTACCGGTAATATGATTGAATTTTCAGTGCCGCAGATCAAGTATTTGTTTTGATCTGTTTTACTGTCGTCAACCATACACTACAACAGACATAGATTAGTCGTTACTATGGAATTCAGTGAGAACAAACTCCAAAGATTTTTCAATCTCAATAGAGATTATGCAAGTAATGTTCACTATTTCTTAGAAATAAACATAGTATTTTTAGTAAATTGTACAATCACACATCATATAATAGATATTGACACCTGTATAATTCCTCTCTTTTTAACTCAGGGTTTTGTTTTTAGATTCCTGTAGCTATGTACATATTTAATACTGCCAATCTATTGATTAGCAATTTTATATACAATTGTTTTTTTTTTTAACAATTAATGTTTATTACTGTTAACATTCTAAAGCTGAAATGTTTCCCTCGTTATAATTTATTGTCATTTCTCAATTTCTAAAGTTATTGCAATGTTAACTCGTTGTCAAGTGTTCATTCAGGGAAAGCCGCCATCATTGTTGTAAAGTCAGGCTTACCAAAAAGATTCTGTTTTTGAAAAATATGGTTTTATTCATAAATGGCTAAAAATCAGGTGCATTATCTGTGTGAGATAAATTATCATGAGTTCTATCACATCTGTGATTGTCAATTTTACCTGGGATGCACTTGACTGTTCAATGTTAGTTTAAATTGGCCTATTTGTTTTATTTAGACATGGTTGGCAACTTGTTCTGTTATAATTCTCATTGTAGGAGCCTGCCCTCTATAGCAGCATAATATGAGGGCGCACTTTGAATACATATCAAATCTGATTTTGATACTTTATTCAGGGTTTTTATTTTAGCATGCCAAAGGTATATTGATTTGTCATATCATAAATGTTGTTGACAGCAAGTCAATATTCCTAACATGGCAGTACTTTTTATAATATTTATAGTGTTACAATATAACTATGATTTTCACTATTTGTAGTATATCATTAATTCAGTTTAAAATAGATGGTAGAAGATGTGTGGGCCTAGGATTGGACCATTTATAAAGCTAAATGAGCCATTAAGATAGGTTGTGTTAGGCACTGACAGAATATTAAGATTCTACTTTATCTCTATCTTATTTTGTATTAACATTATTTTATTTTCCATGTAAACATTTTTATTCTGTGTGAGATGGTATTCATGTGAACTCTTGATAGTATCTTTTAAAACAATTAGAGGTTGAGTTTTAACTACAACCTTTCCAGTTCAATATTTTAACCAGTTTGTTTTGGGCTCGTGTTCAAAGGGATACCTATTTGGTACAATCTGTAGAATATCAACATTTGATATGTTCCTAAACATGACACTGTTCACCTCCACCTTTCATTGAAACACCATTTTCTACAATATTTTCATGGTTGAAAATATGAATATTGTATTTCTGTTTGTTGACACAATATAGACAAAACTGCACTTGTATTAGAGAAAATATTGTACTTGTATCCTTCAGTCGCTTTGCATCAAGTATGCAATATCTAAAACAGACAAGCAATGGAAAGTAAATAATGTTGTATCCCACTTTGTACGATATGCAGAACACCTGTCACTGATTATTGTAATGGCCGTAAAAAAAAAGATGAAATCAAGAGGTGTAACAACACATCCAGAAAATTTTGGAGCCTGCAATGAAGGTCTAATCACTATATCACTCAAAACCTCTTTATTTTAGGAGTTTTTTTTTCAAAATTTGATATAAGGATTAAGTAAGTATGTTAAGTATAGACTTGGTTTACATAATTCGATAGAAGTCTGATCTATTCTGTGACAAAATACAACGATGCACACAAGGTTGGGGAAACAGTTTTCTGCAGAGCATACAAAGTGGGATCCTGTTTTAACTTTTATGTGATAGTAGCAATTTAGAATTCATTTCTAGCTATGAACAATAAATAACAATTTCGAGATCAATCACTTTTTTCTGTGATTAGTCTATTGAATTTAGTCTGTATATTATTATATTGCATGCAGTGAATTTTTAAATTATCATTTTTTTGAATGCATTTTATTTCTTCGATATTCATTCCTTCTGTTTTTTTTATAGTGAATAACACTTTACTTGAGTCTTTCTCAGATGAACAGCTGAATTTATTTAGAATCACTGAAATGGTTTTATATTTGTGATTTTTTTTAAATTAAAAATTATAGTTGTATAAATGCATATTTGTATTCAATTGTCTCAATCTGTATGCAAAGTACATTGTACACTTGTACATATCCACTTACTGGGTAACTATTACTTGTATCAGCAAGGACACTTAGAAGCAGAATATCTGCCCATAATTAGTTTACAGGATTTGTTCCATCAGTAGCGCATGTGCTTATGTAAATGACACATGTATTGGTGGTCAAAATTACAATGAGTGAGTTTTTAAATTTTGTATGTGCGGTACTGGTTTATGAGTTAGCAGACAGTTGTATTATGGCAGAATAATTCATAGCATAGACTGCAACTACCATTAGTTGGTGTCGTGATTACAAACTCCACAGGGTAGAAAGACATAGGCAATTATCAGCTCTACTATTTCGCAATGTTCAAAAGTTAAAATTGTATCTTTAATTCATTATCTGAAATCGTGGATAGGTCTCATACTGCAATTGAGACCCATGTAGAGATTATAATGAACCCTTACAAAAAAGCTTAGATTCTGATTAAATTGTTTTTCATTAGTTTATAGATCCTAACATACTAGTAGTCTTAAACATATACAGGCCACTCATATAATAATTTGCCTACATATGGAGATTTGTGCATGGAATGTTAATATGCACATTAATTTCACTATTTTGAACAATTTCTATTTAAATATTCTATTGTTATTTTTGATGTTCAAGTTGTTTTAGCAGATTTTACCAACTGGTGAAAATAGTGAAATTAAAAACCAGTGATTATTTAATATGTTTACCAGACACTATTTGAGTCTGCCCAAACAACAACATGTATATAGTGGTTCTGAATCTGAAGACTGCATATAGGACAGCCAACCTTTGTTGAGGTTTGCAGTAGATTGACTGGTGTACCTGAGTAGTCCTGCTCAGTCTCTGCATGCCTCCTTTGCTGTTCACAAAGATGTTCAAGGGCTGGTAGTTCAACTCCACCCGAGGGGCACAGGGGATGGCTTTCCCAAATCACTCATTAAAGGCGATCATGTCAAAACGCCTTCGTTACACACTCCTATAGTCAGTAAGTCTGACATGTTGGGAGATTTACTTCCACCTTACAAACAAAATCTGCAAGAAAACCAGGAATTGTGCATCTAGAATTATTACATTGTCATTTACCACCATGCACAAAATAAGATGAATGACAGTCTTGATCTGTAAAAGCTCTGGTACCTCACGCAACATTGTACACCAGGTCACTTCAACAAATTTCAGTTTCAATAAGAAGCTTACCTGGACCATACTTGTTCACCTTGTGGTTGGGGAGCCTCGCCATCATATACTTAGTTCAGTTCTGACAGCTTTACATCACAGTTAAAAACAATGCAAATTGCCTGGTTTCACAACTCTCAGATTTTAACAGCTGTACCCTATTTTGTGACATGACACAGTTGATACATGCATCAATGACTTGATCACATATATAGTCTTCAATATTCGTAAACGCGAAATACTGCCCCTTTTGTCTGCGACTGGAAATACTGTAAAATGACTAATTTTCACTGGGTTTAAATTTCACTGATTTACCATTTCAGGCATATTCAGTGGGTTTTAAATTCACGGTTTCGTCATTTAGATAATGTGTTCTATGCTAAATTTTACATATTCACTGTGTTTTAATTTAGCGCATTTTTCCAGTCAGCGAAATAAGCTAAATTAAAACCCAGTGAATAATTACCCCTTTACAGTAATTATGGTTTCATTGTTCTATTTATTTCATTGTCAGTTACATCTTCTATTACAAAGAAATCAAAGCTGGTCGAGTCACTCTTACAATCAAATATATACTTGTTAATGCAGTGCTTTGCATGGCAGTCTTTTTATATTATTTTCCCTGCGTTGCTGAAAGCCTGTCCCAGCTTAATGAGAATGTGCACCGGATGTTCTAAAGACACGTGATCACACCCGAATCGATAGATATGTCCACATTCCAAGGCAATCGGCTCATTATACAAATTATCAAAATACCTAGTAAATGTGAGATAATATGGTTTCTAAACCCGTTGGAATTATCTCTTCAAGTCATGAATGATGGTACTCTTATGGAGCACCTTGAAAAGTGTATATGACTTCTGTACATAATGATGAGGTGATATGTAAGGTTAATATTTAACCAGTCTCCCAAGCAACCAAATAATATCCCTCCTTATTAATTGCCACCTTCTTCCTATAACAATGAACTGTAAAGCGTCTTCCTCAAATTAGCGGCATATAAACCAAAATGGATTCTCAACAAAATTATATTTATCACGTGAATTATTTGTGATTAAAATAATGTTTGGCACTCTAGACTGAAAATCATGTAATCTGGTGTTACTATAGGCCATTACAAGACATCTTGTACAATTATGAACAACTTAACAAATATTGTACAAAGATGCTTCCTTGCCATTAGGGGAGAGGATTTTTTAGCAATAACATAAATCTGTTATAAAATAAAATTTATTACATAGATGTGTTTGCCTCTAATAATTTCACATAACTCTCCTCCAGTGTTCGCAACGGTACGTACTTTAATTTAATCTCCAACATTGAATCCAGTTGTTTTGAAATAATTTACAGCTTACAAGAAACAAGGGGCAACTGACATAGACAAGGGCTTGTTGAAATCCAAGAAATTATTGCATTGTTAATAAATTTGTTATTTCGTCGGGCGACTCGGACCTTTGTACTGAGCCTAATGCAGAGTTTTATCATTTTCGTATAAAAGGCCGTGATGTAGGATCCAACAATCTTGGTGTTGTATTTGGAGTAAAACAGCAATGTTCTTTCAAAATGCATCAGGTAAACTGTATACAAAATAGCTTTCTACTTTGTCAGACATGAAACGATTCAACCAAATAAAAGCAATTGTACTTGTTGATTTATTGCCATCTTTTGGATTCTATCAATTTATTTTCCAAATAAATGAGTACATATTTGTTTTGGTTCCAGCGAACTTTGTAGTTTCCAGTGCTTCGATATCTATAGGATATCTATCCAATTGCATTGACTCAGTTTTGTTAATCTTTCAAATTGTTACGGGGGGGGGGGGGTGTATGAGAGAAAGAAGGTAACAAGCCGCCTGTGGGCAAACTGACATTAATTGTGTTGTTATTAACCGAGATACGTTTGATGAAGGGAGAGGGGAGGGGCAATTCTAACTGCAATTCAGAGGAATTCCAAAGTCAATACGAAAATGGATCACATTGTCTGACCCCGCATTCTATTTCAAAGAATTTAGATGTATATCAGTGAAACATAATAGTAGAATATATGTTTTTTGTAAAAGATAAGGATCTATTCACAGATGGCAAAAAAATGCATGGTCCACCAAGTCAAAGTTTTTTTTCTGGATTATTCTTCTCTAAATTAAAATGCTCGATAATAGTGCTGACAGAATCATCTACAAGACGACCATTAATTGAAATAAGCTTAGAAGAACACGACCCAGACGTTCGCTGCAATTGTTTACATTAATTATGTAATGAGTGTGTGAACTTTGCTCATTTTTGTCAGAAAAATATTAACACTTTTGGTTTGCGAGATTTTGTCAATTCCCTTCTTCCCTAGAGCTAATTTAAATAATGTGCCAAAAAATATCTTCAGGCCAAACTTGCAACAAAGACCGTTCTTTTCATATATTGAGAGTCTATGGGATTATTTTTAGATTTATGCAGCCTGTCACTGCAACTGTAAGCTTTGATATAAAAGCAGATCCAGCAGAAGTACTAGTCATGTTAGGCTGGGACTTGGTATACAATTTTTTATAGAAAATAAGAATTTGCGAAACTCAAAATTTCTGCCTATTTAGTAGTGATAACACCATGAGTATTGGCATTTTCCGATTTGTTTATGTGACTTTTCTGGCACGGCATCTAATAATTGTTGGGTACTCTTAATTTTGCCGAAGAGGGCGCCCATTTCCTGAATCTCAGCCTGCGATGGTTTCTCGGGCAATTGAGATTCCAGCTTATAGAGCTGTTTTTTTTTAAGTTACGTATTTTTATTTTTCGTTTTGCGTTGCTTTGTGAGTTCTCGAATTTTAAGTTTAAATCATTAACGTATGTAGAATCATTCAAAATGTTATTAATACATTTCCACAACGAATTGCCGAAGTTCTGATTAAGGGTAGATTTAATTTCCAATTTAATTAAAGAATGATTAGTACCGATTGATGGTATAATATCTACCTGTGACACACAATCTGATAATTTGAATCATTGACGTAGGTTGTCTCCATGTAAAACGTTGCTCACCTGCGAGTTTGAATTATCAAGTCAATTGATTCGAAATTTCTAAAACACTTTTTACCCATTTTTCAATCGGATTTCCCCCATGTGATTTTTGTCAAATCAGCTTATGGTTGAAATCACTTCCTACAAATAATATAATTTTCTTCAATGATCTCCAAATAAAAAAAATCAGTCAATTCTTCGAAAAAGAAAATCTGCTCACGCCCGTGATTCGGTGCATAACAATTAACCAGAAAAAAACAAGGAGTGTCAACTTCAATTTTCATGAACAGAAAGCGACCATTATCAAAACCAGATAAATTTATAATCAAGAATATTAATGAAGCTTATAGCTACCCATCTACTGTGAGGCGATCTATTTTTTACCACAATGGTATGAATATTGTAGTGATGTATATTTATTTTAACAGAAATTAAACTCATTTAAATAACAGTTTGAATCTGTTTTCAC